ACGACACCCATTTTCATAACTTTCAAGTACGGCGTACATGTTAATTGTTGCATTTGTTTAGCTTTCGTTTTGATTAACTTTAAAATATAGTGTAGTTTTTACGTTTATAATTAGGTTACTGATTCATTTGCTCTCTGATTCTGCGCGGTAATGGATAATATCATTCAAAATTATTACTATCAGCCTTATCGATCTACCGCTGAATGAAAGCCTCTCCAACTAATTGCTAGTTTGCCAATTATTCTTCTATTTTCTGCGATTATTATCCACCTTGATTCATTGTACTTCTTCAGGTCGTCTTGCCATAGATGGCCGTACTGACACGTGGCAATACGTAATGTCTTTGCACATGAATGAAGAATGGCAAAACTAGATAATAATCATCAGAAAGGTTAGTCTGCTGGAGTTTTCCAATCTTTTTTATTCATCAATACTAACTTTGGTCTTAGCTTCCCAATCCATAATTCCTGGCACCAATTAAATCGAACGATGTGATCTTTTATTTGTCAACGCGTTTCAACGCCGCACACCAGGTCATCCCCACGTTAATGACGATTATTAACTCTGACATGTCTTCAACGTCCTCTGATTCTTCTCCAACGCTTGAACAGTGGATGAAGATAACTGAGTCTGGAGCACAGTCCGTTCAGAAAATCTTTCAAAAAATCATTTCCTTACTTTCCTATGCTCTATCTCACTGTATTGAACTCCAGTCTGATATCTTTCTGATCCAGCGATGGTTAGTTCTTCTTGCAATGTTTCCTGTCCATTGCATGTCTCAAAATATTAAATATTAATTCGTAGGTTGACAGGTTGACAGTCCCACTGAAAATGGAGCAGAACAATTTAAAAGAGGGCCATGTCGCCACTCCCGATATCTCGTGAATCATGAATCATTTTCGCTTCTGGATATTTCTGAAACCTAGAGCTTACCGCCAAGACGTTCTATGACCTCTTGTTTGGTTTTCTACTTTCCTGAAGATTCACAGCACCTGCAGCTCCACAGTGTGACATCTCGGACTCATCAGATTGATCATCGTTTGCGATCCGTTACCTTGATGATTCAAGCTCTCATTTCTAACTGGCTACAGACCAGATTAGAGATATAATCGAGTATAACTTCTGATATATCTGATCCGGCGCTTTGGTGAATTAATATTTGACAAGGTTGCTTTTTATAATGCTGAAAATGCTATAAAAAAGATAAATTCGACTTCTTCCACTATCATGATTTCCACTATTGCTTGAAAGCAATGGCAGTCCAAGCGAACAGCTTCGATTTGGTCGTGCATGCGAATTCGTCAGTCGAATGCACTTTCAACATGACAGGTCTTGAAATAAGTGATTTGCCTGAAATTTCTGAAGTGAAGTTGGATCCATAAAATATCTGTACGTAATGATAAGCAGTTACTTGTGCTGTAATGTGCATTATGGCAGTATGTCACAGAATCAAGCGTGACAGAATGCTTGTAGTACCAGGATCACTTATGACTAATTTCACGAAGCCTGGTTCATTATGCTTTTGGTATCTTCCGCTGTGTTTGCATCTCTCCTAGACCTCGTTCACAAAGGCTTAAAAAATCCCTGAATATCTTTGTACATTTTTGCTTTTCATAGCAACGTTAAGTTCCACAAAGTATTAACACTTTGATTCTTCCGATTTTCTTGCCATTTACTGGTTTAACTAGGACAGTTTTTGGGCCACGTTGCCCATCTTGACCATAATAATTCCATAAATCTTTCTCAGTATATATTCAAAGTAGCAGACACACGTTTTGCCTTTATATGCACACTCCGGTGTAGTTTTACAGGATATGTCTATTCCATACCTAGAGCAAGTACTGGTAAAGATTCGGGGAAGAAGCTTAAGTTCAGCTTGTCGAAAAATTTGGAATGACTTCATAAAGACGAGTCATGTTCAGTTAAAAACCAATAGGACATGTCATATTTTGCTTACCCCTATTTCTTTTGTCATGTGAATTCTGTAGTCTTGCGTACATACTTTTACACCTGCATGATCTCGCTGCAGAAGTGCACGCCTGATACTGAAGGGCTGAAAATTTTATGATTACGTTGTAATGCATAAATAGCATATATTAACTTTATGTAATGTTTACGTTCTTTGTGTTCATTAATATTTTTTTGCCTGCCAATTAATCAGCTTTATGATGAGTATTCAGTTGTGTAAACTTGAAAACAGACATTCCATCCAGGGCAATTTGAACGACTGAGCACAGGAGAAGGTCATTCCTAAAATTCTGTGAGTAAGAAAATATGCACGGAATCACCGAATGAAAAACAGATATATCTGACACTTTACTTCTCTTTTGTATGCTGATATGAATTAATTCCGATCATCCGCGTAGAGACTGATATATGTAACTTAGGCGTGATTTCAGGCGATGCTTGTGCAATTTGACCCTAAAGAAGTTCTTGCGATAGGAACTACTGATCCTTTGATGCGTCTGCATTTGGAAAACATTGCAAAAGCTGCGGACGTCGCATTTTCTACTGCAAAGGGTAGGTCATTGAGCAATGTGTTCTACTCGATTACTTCTGCATATGATCTCATTGTAGATTCGTTCGAGCCTTATGAGCTAGTTGCCAATTTGAACACGCTTCTCAAAGGTCAAAATGGAAGCGACCTGAACAGCAGCACGCTTCGTAAGCGGTTGAACTAGTGATCTACTCAGGGCCGAGTTGTAATTAATGTTATTTTAGCACAGATGAACCTCACCGATGCGATGCACTCTCTTCATGCGCTGATACGGTACCAAGAATTGACGAAAGATGATAGCAACTCGCACAACTTTGATATTAGTACGATCTCACTCGGAAATTGTATGCAGATGAATGCGGCGACTGTTAAAAGTTTGAACCTGAATCGAATCGGTAAGTTAGGGGACGATTGACTAACTGTTAAACTGCCAAATTTGCATTCTATGTTTTGCATCAATTAGGAATGACAGATATCCCCTTCCCTTGTTATAAAGACTCCGTATTGTTGTTGCGTTCATATCATCGTCTAAAACCAGCAAGGCTTGAACTGCAAAATAGCCAAAATTTGTAGTTCCGGGAAACTTGACCGTAATGTATTGTGCAATCGGTTACATGCTAAGTTAGCTGTCGAAAGGTTTCATACAGGTTCAACCAGTCAGTTAGTCCAAAAAGACATGAACGCATTTTTTTAAATTTGTGCTAAAGAAATAACAACGTTATGAGTAATAAAAGCTTTTCTTATTATAACAATCCTTTTCTTAATCAGTCAGTGGATCAGTCGGTTTACTTTTATAATAGTAAGGAACTGAGTATTTCTCACTGAGAATGATATGAAATTCTATTCTAGCCTATTCCATTCTTCTTTCATTCTTTTGAGGTTAGTAAAGAAATGTTGTCACCTTGTCAGAAAGAATAATTCTGCTGGTCAGGATGAATCAGTCTGAAAAACTTTCGACTGATCGTGGATTCGAATCCTGGACGAATCACTCGCGTTTCTTCCTTCTGAAGCAGTGTGCGTGAAGGAAAGAAGAGACTGCATGCCGTATCAAAAGAGCTACATATATATTGCCTTAGACAGAACGTATTTGCATGTGTCACAGTAGAGATCACCGCCCTGTAAGCTCCACGGAAAGTTTCCTAAAACAGCACCAGAGAAGCTTTAAGTACGTTGATGTCGTGCAATAAATACAGAATTATACTTATTTGCATTTTCTGACTTTGTGAGGAACGACGATGGCTGATTTCGCAGCAAGACTGTTTTCAGTCCTTCGAATAAAACTTGCGATTTCATCTACCAGAAAGTGGTAATTGGACGCCATGTACAGAAAATAGCCATTCTGTTTATCGTACTCACACCTTCATTTAAAAAAATATTAACACCAGTGATGCAAATTCTGTGAAGTGGACTGGTCTTTGCCATTTCCGGGGTTCACACATGGTTGACGTTAAGCCACGTTTTACTCATACCGTCTACCTACTTTACGGGAGTACTGGAGTCATCGTTCGTATTAATATCCAATGAACCCATTCATAGAGAAATCTTTTTATCATGCTGTCTACTCCCTGAATTGAAAATTAATAGTTGGGAAGACTAACGCAAAAGCCAGAAAATGTGTAATGGAATATGTCAGAAAATACAGATGAAGATTTCACCTTTCGCCTGATTTAGATATCAAGAGTTAAATTATTTTACGTATTAAGGTAATCAGTTGCATTGAATAGTTATATTTTCCATCGTTTTAATGGACAGGTATCATCTTAATCAAGCACAACCATCTGTTTCAGTATATTGGAAAATTTGTTTCTCAACAATACCGTTATGATTTATGCGGATATGAGTTACAACAGTGAAGTCGTCGTCTGTTCAAGAGCGAAAACAACATGATGACAAGATTTTAGGGATTAATGCAAATTCGTGGTCCTTGGTTTACCTGCTCGGTTTATAGTGAGTGTTGTTTCATGGTGCATTGGAAATGGGGTCTGTCAATCTGTATTACCAATCGATCAGTAGCTGAACTTTTTACAATACTTTACTGACCTTCACTACTGCAGAAAATGCACTCAGTTGTACTTGGTTATGCCATGGCACGTATTACTTTTCTCATTGCACTTTTATGGTGCGTATTTTGCAAAAATTTTGTTTGCTCTTTCTGTGGCAGAAATTTGTGCGTATCTTTTAGCTTAATTGCTTGACACCTAGACATTTAGTCTTATTTTTAACTTACATAATAAATTTAACAGTTCTTGATAATTTTAGGTGTTTCTTCCATGGAAAGTCTTTATAGCGTCCTTAATCACTGCCAGACGGCGCCAGGAGCAAGACTGCTAAACGTCTGGATAAGAACACCGTTGTTGGACAAGGATAAAATAGGTATTTTTTAGAGATAAGAATAAAGGGAATGAAGGCACAGTTTGACATATATCATTTTGTTTTGTGGCGGCTCCTTTAATCTTCGAGGATGGCGGCTGTTTGGCCTGCATAAGAGTGAGTGGATAAAAGAAGATCTACGCCCTCTATAGCTGCACGTTGGCATTCAAGCGTCTCCAATGGACTGCGACCAGAAAGAAACAATCTAAGCTATCGAAACGAATTCTCACTCGGCGCATGATCAGGAAAGAACCATATGCGCCTAATATTTGATCATTCAACTTATGCAATACAGGGAAGAAACGGTCAAATTCTGGAGACTCATTGTCACTTGACAATTATGAAAACCATAAAGGGGTCATGTCTGTTTACATATATATTGACAACAAAGCATGTATCTACTGAAGTAAATTGCTTCCTAATGAAACAGCAGTCGAGTGAAGAAGCTTTTTTATTAAGCTACCTCTGATTTGATGCTGAGAAATTGTTTTTAAGAATGTACATTTTATCAGCTCAGCGAAAGTCGAAAAACAGTGTGGTCGATTTGTTCCTGTTTGTGTTGGAATACTCAGAACAGGTGTAACACTCCGTCATTGAGAAAGTTTATAATGCTACTGTTACATAAGTGTACTATAAACTAGATAGCACGGAAAACAGTGCATGAGTTCTTTATGCAGAAGATGACGTTGTGTTTTGGCAAGTCACAAACGGGATAACACGCCATAAGATTTTTACTCAGCATTTTACAAAGATTCTGACATTATTGACCAACCTCGGTCCATCTTCAGAAAAATAATGAGGTTTTACATGGCATCATTTTCAATGTGGTCGGTTTGACACGTATGGTTAAAGGCACCGATCCTGTTGTTAGTCCTGCGTGACCGCTTGATGTTTTCGGTCCAGGTGTCGCTGACTTTCTGCGCCAAGATCGTGATTGACACAGCTGGCTGCCGTTCAGCAGTTCTTCTTTGACTTTACGCGTCAGATACTGTTTTCCCGCTCGACGCCTTATCAAAGCGGAATGCGAAATAAGAATTCTGCTGTAGTAGAATATGCCGTATAACATCAGATATCTATGATATCTATGATCAGGGCGAAAGGCATCGTGCGGTAGAAACAATATCTCACCCAAAAATGAAGAAAGCGCTGCTGATCTTTGAATCAGCTATGTCACTTGCCACATTGGCGCAGATTTCTGTCACACATAGACTAAAAACATCAAACGACAAGTGCAGTACCATAAATCATACCTCTCAACGCTCCTCGCATGAAAATGTTGCCTTTTGAAAACTCGTCATGTTCCTGAAGGCCAACCGACAGAAACGTCAGAATTTTTGCATGATGTTGACTAAAAAGTGTATGCGGTTTTATCTCATTTGTGACTTTTCGAAACAGAATAAATTTGCTATT